CAGACCCTCAGCCGGTGGATAGTTAATGCCATTACTGTTGCCTATAAGTCCTCTGATCTCCCCTCACCATTGGGGCTCAAGGCTCACTCGACAAGAAGTGTGGCGGCCTCCAAGGCCTTTCTGGCAGGAGTTCCTATGCAGGACATCTGCAACGCTGCAGGATGGTCTACGCCCCTCACGTTCGTCAGGTTCTATGACCTAGATTTGCGAGCCACTCCAGGCCCCTCTGTTCTCTTGCCATAGCTGTGCCCTTCCACACTAGGCAGGGATTTGCAAGTCTGGCGGCGTGGACATCTCGTTCCCCTAGCGTTTTCCGACGCAGCTCGAGTTCCCGAAGGGGAACATCCCAGGTTACGTATTGTAACGTAGAGCTTGGTATCGCTGAAGGCATTCCCCTAGCGTTTTCCGACGCAGCGTCTCGTTCCCTCGGGGAACCATGGTTACATACGTAACCTGGGACGTATTTTTGTATGCTATATTTATGAAGTTTTTATTTTTATATTTTCAGTTTTCATTAAATTTTTTTTAAACTTGGACAATCTGAGAAGCAGTGTTATTTTAGTATTATTTATATTATATTATAATATTTATTGATAGCATTTTTTTTTACATTTGGATCATCTGATAACTATATAGTATTATAGTATTTATTGATGTTTATAAATTGTTATATTTATAAAGCTTATTTATAAATATTTACATTTTTTAAATATTTCACTTTAAAACATTTCAGATTTTTAATTAAATTTTTTAAAGTTTAAGTGTGAGTTTTTCATCTAATATTTATATTTTAATTTTCATGTTATTTCAATTAATGAAAACGATTTTTAATCATTTTAGCAAAAAATATCAACACTGCAGAGAATGGTCAATGTAAGTTAGAAAATCATGTTGAAATCACAGTCAGAATTAAGATGTCAACATGAATGTTTAGTTTGGATGTGTTTTGTTGATGAAGTTTAGCTTAAAGGTGATCATTTAGTAGTTTTAGCCTGGCTTAGCTCTCTGCTGTCTATTTTGATTGTCCGAAAACACTTCAAATGCACATGACCACAAGACTTTTGGCTGTTGTGTTTATTATGTATGTGTGTTTGCAGGTCGCAGACGCGATCCTGGGGAATCAGATGCTCACTCACTACGAGCGCGCTCACATCGCTCAGCTGTGTGAGAAAGCCGGTTTACTGCAGAGAGCTCTGGAGCATTACAGCGACCCCGACGACATCAAACGAGCCGTCGTACACACACACCTGCTCAACCCCGAGGTGTGTCTGTGTGTGTGAGAGCTAAAGCGCTTTGTTAAAATCATTTTATAATGTTTCCTGAGCTGCGCTAAGAATCTTAGTGGTTTTTCATCAAAAACGGTCATTGCATGTGGAACTCTTTTGAAAAGTTTTACAGCATTTTTACTATAACGGCTGCCAAGATGAACTAATCATGAACAGTGTTGATTATAGAATCATATTTAGAGCGTCAGAGGTCACAGCCAAACACAGTCTCAAACGCATTAATGCAGTCAGCTCGATAAAATCCAGTTCAGTGCTTCTGTCATCATATATGTGACTTTTATTGGCGCAATAACACTCAATATTAACAGAAGCATTGATACAGATGATGAGTTATGGTAATAAAAAAAAAA